ATTAAGATAATTACATTATAGCTAATCTTACCCGTTTTCACAGAATGCAAGAATTAGGTCCCCCATTTCCAGACTAATTAGAGAATTTTTACGTCCAGTCAAACAAACTATTTTCAATTTGATCAATTTTCTGGAACGCTTACAATCGTTCTATAATCGAACCAATTTGAATTTGAATACAAATTAGAATTTAAAACGATTCGAACATTTTTAAAATCGAAATAGAAAATCTTCGAAGTCAACCACTTTAAGCCCCCATATCTCTCGCACCCTTATAGCTATTGAGACGTAACCACCATAGTGCATGAATGGAGACTTGGGGCTACTACCACATACAAACACTATTCATGTGCGATGTGTAGTTATGGCTGAAAAGTGAAATATAGGAACACACATGTCCATTTATATACATATATATATATATATAGATTCACAATATGAAATTAATTACTTATATACGTACATATATACACAGAAGTTTTAAATTACATATGCTTTGAAATATGTTNCATGAAAAGATAAAAATCTTCGATAAAACGAAGAATTAAAATCCCACAGGTATTCGTGAGCCTGAATAAGCTTGATCAATCTCGATTCTGTAAAGTATTAATCCCCTAACTATCCGCCATGATGATGAACTATTTTCAATGTTGTCACTGTATGACATGGCACAAAGGCGTTTGTTAATTGGATGCGCGTTTGCAATCGTCGCGAGTAGAACAAACTTTTTGTTTCTAGTTGCGGTTGCAGTCGCACCGGTTTTCGAGGGAGGATTACTAGTTAACGATAACAGCCGTCACGGATGCAGTTTCCTGCGCGGCTGGAAATCGCATAATGTGACCAGGGCTTTAGCGAGGTTGAGGCCGAAGTTTTAAACGTGAAAACGTGTACGTCGGACGTTTAGACCCGCTTTCCTGTAAGCTTAAAAGTTTGACAATGGTGTTTGGAATGTCGAGCATGATTCCACTGACTATCCAAACAGCATTTTCAAACTTCTAGGCTTACAGGAAAGTGGCGCNGACCAAAGGCAAAATTGGGGCTGATAAGAGGAAACATTGCGTTTAATGGTTTCCAGATGATGAGAACAATGTACAGTAAGGGCACAAAGTGTGAGATTCATAGAAAAGTTTTCCAAAGAATATTTCCAATCTTTTTCTCACACAAGAGAAAATGGGTTAGGGGGCGTTGGGTATAACTTTATGTATCAAAGGGGGCGGTCGATCGAAAAAGTTTGAGAATCACTGGTGTAGTATATATCAGCAGTTGGCAACATTTCAGTAGTATTGTGCCGAACCGAAGTTATAGTGTTATTTAAGGTGCAGACATGATTCTACCAATTTTTGTATGTATATTATCAAAATTGGTCCAGTTATAACATACTTCAAAAATATGTAATTTTGAAGTTAAATTTTAATTGAATTATGTTCTTTGATGTGAAGCACATGCACAACATGTAACTGTAGACATGGAGCACAATTGCATGCACTGTAATATAAATATACAAGCAAGAGACTCATTTTTAATGTACCATGTTCTACATTGAACTTTGGTTTCAATTTAAATGTGTAATTAATAATTAAAATATAAGTTTTACTACATTTCTATTCAATTAGTGAATACATGCCACTGAAAATTGTCTTGTGTGCTGTGTTTGCCATAGGTTGCTGACCCTGGTATAATACCATAATCATTAGAGTTATTGAAATTTTAATGTTTTTATTGATTTGTAAAATGATTTTCCATTTATAGTATTAAGTAGGTGGAATTAGTTTTCTGATTTCATTTGTAATTACATTATATGTATAAACATGTAAAATATTGTAAGATTAATTTTACTTGCCATTGACTTGTTTGAACTGTCATTCTAGGTAGTAACTTGGTAGGAAGGGAAAATGAAGCAAATAATTAATAATACATGAGTATTGCTTTTTGTGAAAACAATACTATCATAACTCTACATGCTTAACAATTCTTGATTTATAACTCTTAATTTTTATCTAGAGATGTTTTAATATTTATTTTTTACAAATAATGAAATAACTATAATTTGATAATGGACAGCACGCTAATCGTTTATTACAAAAACTTTTAATATATAAGCGTTAAATTAGACACCTATGTCACTAAATTGACGAGTGCTTTCGACGATATACACTTTCGTCTTCTTCAGGTCATTAGAACCTTTTTTGAATACAAAATTTTTAAAAAACATTCCAATCTTAAATAGCAAATTTGGAATGATAGCAACGGTAGAATATAAACAGATATTTAAATAAAAATATGCGCGGTAGAATATAAACAGATATTTAAATAAAAATATGCGCGGTAGAATATAAACAGATATTTAAATAAAAA